AATGATGAAGGCTGGTAATTTCTTGATACTATATTTGATAAGTATTTGAAGATGTAAATTTTATAAAAGGGCTTAAAAGATTTTTTTTATATAGATGTAGATTGATGAAATTATAGAGAAGACTGGGGATTCAAAGTTTTGTACTTTGCTGAAGTGGTAAAGATTTTGGCTTACTTGAAGTATTATTTGAATGAATAATGTTTATTAATATGGAGAAGATGGATTGTTTATATCTAAAAGAAGCATAGAGTGGTGGAATATAATTTAAGTTTTTAGTAAATTTGCTTTTTTCTTTTTCTTTTATATTTTACCTACTCATGTAGAATAATATACTTTGTGGAGTTAGAGATATTAATATTTCTTTACTTATATTTGAATATTATCCTGGGATTAGGTTTGGGAAGTCCGGGGGGGTGGGGGGGGGGTTTTCTTACAGTATTGTGTAATATTTGTGATGTTTTTTTCTATGATGAAAAATAATAAAAATTTTATATTGGAAAAAAAAAAAAAAAAGCGTAAGTGATAAGCTATTTGCAAGCTGCTTCTTATGTTACCTGCAGCTGCATAATCAACCCATCTTCTACTTCCTTTTCTCACTCACCTCTTCCTCCCAACTCACTGCAATTTAATCCTACATCAGTCTGGTCTCTCTATGGATCTGATGAAATGAGCTATATCTCACAAAACCTTACACTTTTTAATAACATTTGTTAGTCAAAATAGGTGTTACCAGATTCTGGTTCTTTTGTCCAGGACAGATGACTGTGTATGAAATGAGACAGTTGTGTCTAGGAAATTTTTATCTATACAATAACTCATAGAAAAACTATGACGTATAATGACTGCTCATATTTTTACACACACACACCCCAACTAAAGAAAATTCCAAGTAAATGAGAGGGGGAAAAAACTGTACCAGAACCTAGTGTGGTTTTAATGGCCAGAAGTTGACAATGTAGTTTATAGCAGTAGCTTCTCTACCTGCTAATACATATGTGTGTTGTACAAAGTGCACCTGGGTGCAAATATTTCATTGGTTTGTAGTCTCCATGCCTGGATAGTAGAGAAGAAAAAGTTGGAAGAAAGGGGGACAAAGTGTCAAAGCTTTTAGTGGAGTCCTTGCCATTCTATTATCAGCGGCTCCCAACCTTTTCTATACCCCGCACCCCTAGAACGCTTCTGATATATTCTTGCACCCCTTACAAGAGTTCAAAATAAAGGCAACGAATTATGCATATACATTATAATTTTGAAAACCCAAGTTTTCGCACCCCCTGGAATACTGTCTTGCACTCACAGGGGGTGCAAGCATCTCCGGTTGGGAACCCCTGCTATTATGATATGCGATCATGAAAAATATTATTTATCACAATCCAACTTCATAAAAAAAAGAAATGGAATCAGGCAAAAGAACCAAATTCTGTTGACAGAAGTGAGCGGCTGAACTTTACCTGGTGGGAGACCCATGAGTAGACAGATTCCTAAGAAATAACATGCCTAGCAGATGAGATTAATACCTGAATGTCTTGCCCTCTGAGGTAGCCTGTAGTGTCATTTTGATCAGGAAAATTGTGGTTGCTTTGATATTTTAAAAATAGGCTTAGCAGACCAGTCTCACGGGGGTTTACACAGAAGCAATTCCTACGTGTTTAGTTTTTCTTGATACATTATTGACACATTAAAAGAGAGGAGAAAAAGAATAGCAGAGAAAAGAAATGGCCCAGGTACTATCTATTGCTTTTGCAAATCATCTAATCTTTTAACCCCTGTAGGTTACTAATTATTCATAGAAAAATGATTCCATAAGAATTATGAGTCATTTCCTCAATTTGATAATCAGAAATGGTGAATGCTACTGCATTTCAGTCATGTGGGGAAGTGCAAGATTCTGGCTTTATTTGCATTCTCATGACATAACCATAAACTAGAGAGAACCCATGTTTGATCAGAATGCAACTTTTTCTGGGCAACAAAGGGCGTTTCCTGGTGATCATTAGATAATGAGTTTAATGAACTCCATTATGGCTAGCCAGTCTAATTTAATATGTACAATCCATTTGAATGCATGAAAGTGCAACATCATGCTAGGGTGGACTATATAATGTGCCAAAGATCAGAAGAAGTTCAAAGTATTACAGATGGATAACAGCACCGAGTGCAGACATGAGCTTCCATGATCAAGAACTGCTTAAGAATAGCCACGGTAGTTAAATCTCAGTTTTGTCTTGTAAATGGAAGAATACAGGTAGTCCTCAATGTATGACTACAATTGAGCTCAAAATTTTCTGTTGCTAAGCGAGATCATTGTTAAGTGAGTTTGGCCCCATTTTACGACTTTGTTTGCCAGAGTTGTTAAGATACTAACATGATTATAAAGAGAATCTTGCTTCCCATTGGCTTTCTTGTCAGAAGATGTCAAAAGGTGATCACATGGCCCCCGGACATTGCAACCGCCATTAAGTACGAGCCAGTTGACAAGCATCTGAATTTTGATTACATGATTATGGGGACACTATAATGGTTGGAAATGGACATACGTCACTTTTTTCAGTGCCGTTGTAATTCTGAACCATCATTAATTAAATGGTTGTAAGTTGAGGATTACCTGTGTTCCATTACAAGATTGATGAAAGCCAATTGTCGCAAGACTAATATTTTAGGTTATAAAATAGAAGACAAAGAGAATCTCAGTGTGTAAACTGGGCAAAGTGAGCAAAGGGTATATGTGTGTGCATGTGAGTGCATGTAACATGCAACACTTTTTGTATTCTACAGCTAATTATTTTTTTTGCTTCTGTTTGCTTGCTACTTCTCCCTTTATCTTTTTCACATTGGGAACTCTTCCTAGACTTTCAAGGGAAATTCAAGGGAACCAGAATAATCTGATCGTTTTTGGTAGTTATCTAATTTATACAAACCTTCTGTTTATATTAGTTGTGAAAATTGTACTGATCAACACGCTTAAACTGAGAAATATGTTGAAGGGGCAACTGCATTTAAACTTTGATTCAATTGTTTATCGCTGCTGTCTGCAGTGATTGTGCTTGCCAAGATCCCAAAAGGGGAGGGGAAAGGTTCTTTACAATTACCCTTTCCCAAGACAAAACACTGGTTACATGCCAAAGGCCAAGGACCAATGAGTACATACTGTATGTGTGTGTGTGTGCGCGCACATGCGGGTAGAAATTTAAGCTCCAGCAAAAGGGAAAGGAGATAATTTTACAAGGGAAATTCAAGGGAACCAGAATAATCTGATCGTTGTGATTATTCTGAACTCACCAAGAACTCACCAATTGCTGGGCTTCTTGCTGAGGGACACTGGAGAGCTGCGTATCAGGTTGCTGAGAAGGTACCGGTATGTGAGCAGGTTCAGGCCCTGGAGAGCTTTGGCTGTGAGATGGCTGTCAGTGAAAGGTGGGGCGAAGAGATTAGTTTGGAGAGAAACAGTACAGAAAAGCAAATCAGAAGCTGAGCGTTTTGGGGATGAGTGCACCATTTAGCACTGGACGTAAGAAATTACTCTTAAAAGGACATGATGGTTTTCTACGCTGAAGATATGGTGTACCATTCATAGCTTCACTGAAACCATCATTAATTTAGCACCTATTTTGATCGCTCTCAAGATGAGAAGCATGGACTCCATTAATCTAATGAATTAATGAATCAACTGATCTCACAGATTAAAAAAAAACCCAGTCCCCAAGTCTTTCCCTTCTATTATAACTATATGCATATACATTTAATAAATATAAGCATATAAATTTAATAAACGTAAGCATACAAATTTAATAAATAGAAGAATCAAATAGATGTTTAAAAAGATCAAATGATCAATGACCAGTAAACACATAATAATCATTGTCTGAATGGCCTCACAATACATGCATCTGGTTTATCTACATCAATTAATCTGCTCTAAAGTTACCTTTTCTCAGTCCCTCTTCCCTAACACTCTGATGGGTAAATCAACACTTTGCTATATATGTGCATGCAAAGATTTTTCCCTTGTATATTCAGTGAATGATACTAAATAATAATTGTTTAGTAGCAAGAGCAGACAATATACTCCCACCTGCCCTGTTCTTCTGGTATCTCTGCCTCAAGGATGGACCAAACAAAAAAAAATTGGGTTGCTTGGGGCATGGATTTCCTTCATTCACTCATTCATCCATTCATCCATCCATCCATCCATCCACCCACCCACCTACCCACCTACCCACCCACCCACTCACTCACTCACTCATTCATTTTTCCTATTTTTTTAACTGCCCATCTTGGGAGACCATGAAAACCCATTCTGTTCATCTGAATGGGCTCTCCTTAACAAAAGAAAGAAGTCATCTCATCTTAGATGAGCTGGAACAGAGTTAAGAAGTCCTCCTCTAGGTCTTTCTCAACCTGACGTCCTTTTCATTGGACTATGACTCCATCATCTCCAACCCTCAGCATTTGGACAGAGCAGTTGTAATCCACAGACAGATAAACATATATATTGTACGTACACTGGGCATGGGCTCAGAGTCCTTTGACCCTACTGAGTTGTTCTAAATAAAATGATGTATGGTAGCCAAATATATTAGTGTTTTTTTTCAATACTTACATGGTATCTTTCACTATAATTATCTTTAGGACAGTTTACTTAGGAAAGAGCAACATATTAAGTAAATGGCCCCAGTTCCTCATTATTTGTTGAGTTGCTCTATTAAAAGATGGCCAATAACCTCCTCTCCTACTTCTTTTTTTCACATCAATAATGGAAATTTTACAAAATTACATTGATTAGGAATGGAGCAAGAAACTGTTTTGTCTTTATGGCAGCCTGTTCACAGCCTATTTCAAGCAATAGACAGGATAGAATTATCTTAATTATGAATTGCTGTTTTTATATAATGGTTATTTTGGGCATTCAAATTCTGAGTAGGCTCAGAGCTACTGTTTAATTAAATCAAATTACTGCATTGAACGTTAAGCTTTCTTCTCCAAAGTAGAAAATCTGTGTCAGCCACACACACCAAATTGCTATACTATCTGAGGTGGGAGCCCGACTGATGACCTTCTTGCCTTACCTCGACAGAGGGGAGGGGGTCAGGTGGGGCTGGACCAGGAAGATAAAGGGAGGGCAGGGAGGCATTGTGGGCCTGGAGGCTGGATCCCTTGTTCTGGTCCATGGAGGTTGAGGAGGAAGGCCGAGTTGAGCCACCTGTCAGTGAGTGGTGCAGAGCCCCCGTTCGTCCTAAACTGTGGGTTTTGCTCTCCCGACGCTGGTACTCTATGGGCGACTGCAGTGCTGGGTAGGGAAAAAAACAATAGAAACAGACTTTGAACAATGGGGTCAACCTGGGAACATAAAATAATGTACATGCCAAAAAGAAGTTGTATGGTGTTCACCGAGAATAACAAGAAACCCTTTCTGAACCAAGAGGTAACTTCATTGAGTAAAATTACTACATGATGATTTGCCTGTCTGAATTAGCCATCCATAGATTAGGCTTATCTGTACCCTAACATCATCTACCGATTGCTCCCCTGACTAATGTACTGAGGTGGCTACTGGAGAAGGCTGGAGAGCGAGGACCCTGATCATTTTTGAGTGATCATTCTGTAAATTGCTCAGAGTCACTTAGGTGAGATGGGTGATGTAGAAAATTGATAAATAAAAATAAAATAACTTTTCTTAGACTTTAACAATAGATTTCTTGTTGCTGGCATCTTTGGTGAGATTGGGTTTATTTGATCTGAAGTAGCATAATTTTGGGGATAAATACAGTTTAAAACGTCATTGCCCCGCAACCCAAAACAATGGAATTCTCAAAAAATCAGATTTATATTTCCTCCTCTCCCTTCTTCTCCAGTTTCCCCCTTTCTTTAACAAGATGGAAAGTGTCTGTACTCCATCAGCTGTTTGCCCAAATAGGACTGCTGAGTTCTAGCACTTTTAATACCTTGCGAAAAGTTAGACAATCTACAAATCAGAGTTACTGTCAGAGCCAAGGTAGCTACACTGCATTCCCTTATATCTCCTTCAAATCCTGTTTTATCTAATCATCCTTTCTTTTCTTTCTACCTCAGCACAATTTCAGATTTTATTTTATGTCATTGGTTGACATCACCCAGAGAAATAACTTCCTTTGGGAAGGCAGTGCTTTTTTTTTTCCAGCTCAAGGATTCTCTAAATCAGCGGTTCTCAACCTATGGGTCGCGACCCCATTTGGGGTCGATCGACCATTTCACGGGGGTCGCCAAGCAAGGCTGTCCGCCATTTTTTCCCCCTTTTCCGGTGGGTGCCTTACCTCCCTTGAGCTGGGCCAGCTGGTGGTCGGCCTGCTCCGTCTCTGCCGCTTGCCAGCTACGCCTCGGCCGGCGCAGGGGGCGG